TTGGACAATAAAACAAATCAAATCAAATAAAAGGCGAGTCCCCTGGGGTCACCCCACCCCATCCTGTTTGAGAACTTGTAAACAGTCGAGATCCCCATCCCAAAACCATTTATATTCTTGTACAGGACAATAAAACAAATCAAATGAAATAAAAGGCAAGTCCCCTGGGGTCACTCCCACCCCCTTCCTGTTTGAGAACTTGTAAACGGTCGAGATCCCCACCTCTAAACTGTATATATTCCTGTTCATGATTTAAAGAAGATTTGAATGACATACAGATTTAATCTCTAGGCGTCACTTATGCATATCACTTTACTAGACCAAACCAATTTTTTTTTTAAAATAGAAAAAAACATTAACCATGCAATCTACACATCTATAACCTATTTGAAATAATACACATCTACCGTTGCAAACTTTCCACAGGTGCTATCCAGCATTTTGATTTTTTTTAGTTTGACTGTGTTACCTTTAGATATGTTCATTTTATATTGACTTTAGGGATTACAAATCTTGAAAAATAGAATAAATTCAATGTATAAAATATTTTCATATTTTCAATTTTTTTATATAAACATGATAAAATTAGATATATTATAGGCCTTGAATAAGAAATATTTGAACTATGCTTTTAAATTTATTAGTATGAAGACTATATATTAAGAGTCCAATTTTTTATGGTATTTATTAGCATAATAGATGACCCCAACCAACCAACCAACCAACCAACCAACCAAGATGGCCACCATGGCTAAAAATAGAACATAGGGGTAAAATGTAGATTTTGGCTTATATCTCTGAAACCAAAGCATTTAGAGCAAATCTGACACTGATTATCAGGTCAAGATCTATCTGCTCTGAAATTTTCAGACAAATCTGACAACCTGTTGTTGGGTTGCAGCCCCTGAATTGGTAATTTTAAGGAAATTTTGCAGTTTTTATACGACCGCAAAAATTGAAAATTTTTTGGTCGTATATTGGTATGACGTTGGCGGCGGCGTCGTCGTCGTCGTCGTCGTCGTCCGAAGACACATTGGTTTTCACACTCTAACTTTAGTTTAAGTGAATGGATCTCCATGAAATTTTACCATAAGGTTCAATACCACAAAAGGAAGGTGGGGATTGATTTTGGGGGTTATGGTACCAACAGTTAAGGAATTAGGGGCCAAAAATAAGCATTTTTGTAACTTCCAGACAATAACTTGTGTGTAAGTGTATGGATCTCTCTGACATTGTACCACAAGGTTCCATATCTCAAAGGGAAGGCTGTAATTGATTTTGGGGGTAATTGCCTAAAAATTTTAGGAATTAGGGGCCAAAAAAGGGGCAAAAAACAAGCATTTTTCTAGTTTCATGACAATAACTTGTGTGTAAGTGTTTGGATATTTCTGAAATTGTACTACAAGGTTCCATATCACAAAGGGAAAGCTGGAATTGAGTTTGGGGGTAATTGCCCGAAACGTTTAGGAATTGGGGGCCAAAAAGGGGCCAAAAATAAGCATTTTTCTAGTTTCCAGACAATAACTTGTGTTCAAGTGTATGGATATCTCTGAAATTGTACTGCAAGGTACCATACCACAAAGGGAAGGCTGGGATTGAGTTTGGGGGTGATGAATCATAAGGGGGTTCAAAAAATTTGGGGGGGGGGGATTTTTTTTTTTCTTTTTTTTTCTTTTTTTCCTTTTTTTTTTCTTTTCAAATTTTCCATTTTAAGTTGGTTATTTCTGATTAATATTTAAAAGCAAATAATAATGATATGGTAGGAGATACACACCAAACAGGATGTGTAAATTATTATATAATAAGTATTGTGCAATAGCAAGAAATTGTCAATTGTACAGTATTGCACAATAGCAAGAAATATTCAATTGCACAGTATTGTGCAAAAGAAGATACTTCATATAAATTGCTTATTTCTTGATCAATTTCAATGGGGTTTTATTCTTGAATTCTTGGGGTTCTTTAATATGCTGAATCTAACCGTGTATTAAGTTTTTGGATTTTGGGCCCCGTTTTTAAATTGGTCCACATTGAGGTCCAAAGGGTCCAAAATTTAACTTTGTTTGATTTCATCAAAAATTGAATTATTGGGGTTCTTTGATATGCCGAATCTAACCGTGTATTTAGATTCTTAATTTTTGGTTCCGTTTTCAAATTGGTCTACATTAAGGTCAAAAGGGTCCAAAATTAAACTTAGTTTGATTTTAACAAAAATTGAATTTTTAGGGTACTTTGATATGCTGAATCTAACCATGTATTTAGATTTTTGATTATGGGCCCAGTTTTCAAGTTGGTCCAAATCGGGGTCCAAAATTAAACTTTGTTTGATATCAACAAAAATTGAATATATGGGGTTCTTTGATATGCTGAATCTAACCATGTATTTAGATTTTTGATTTTTGGGCCCCGTTATCAACTTTGTCCACATTGAGGTCAAAAGGGTCCAAAATTAAACTTTGTTTGATTTCATCAAAAATTGAATTCTTGGGGTTCTTTGATATTCTGAATCTAACCATGTATTTAGATTTTTTATTTGTGGACCCGCTATCAAATTGGTTCATATTGAGGTCAAAAGGGTCCAAAATTAAACTTTGTTTGATTTCATCAAAAATTGAATTATTGGGGTTCTTTGATATGCCAAATCTAACCGTGTATTTAGATTTTTAATTTTGGGTCCCGTTTTTAAATTGGTCTACATTAAGGTCCAAAGGGTCCAAAATTAAACTTAGTTTGATTTTAACAAAAATTGAATTCTTTTGAATTATTGGGGTTCTTTGATATGCCAAATCTAACCGTGTTTTTAGATTTTTAATTTTAGGTCCCGTTTTTTAAATTGGTCTACATTAAGGTCCAAAGGGTCCAAAATTAAACTTAGTTTGATTTTAACAAAAATTGAATTCTTGGGGTACTTTGATATGCTGAATCTAAACATGTGTTTAGATTTTTTATTATGGGCCCAGTTTTCAAGTTTGTCCAAGTTGGGGTCCAAAATTAAACTTTGTTTGATTTCAACAAAAATTGAATATATGGGGTACTTTGATATGCTGAATCTAAACACGTGTTTAGATTTTTGATTATGGGACCAGTTTTCAAGTTTGTCCAAGTTGGGGTCCAAACTTAAACTTTGTTTGATTTCAACAAAAATTGAATATATGGGGTTCTTTGATATGTTGAATCTAACCATGTATTTTGATTTTGGACATTGGACCATAATAGGTAAATTAAAAAAATTGAAGTTCTTAGACCACATTCTTTCTGTGTCAGAAACCTACAATGTATGCTGTGTCAAATATTTAATCACAATCCAAATTCAGAGCTGTATCAAGCTTGAATGTTGTGTCCGTGTTTGCCCCAACTGTTCAGGGTTCGACCTCTGCGGTCGTATCAAGCTGCGCCCAGCGAAGCATTTTATTGGTTATTATCTTGAATATTATTATAGATAGAGATAAACTGTAAACAGCAATAATGTTCAGCAAAGTAAGATCTACAAATAAGTCATCATGATCAAAATTGTCAGTCGACTCCTTTAGGAGTTATTGCCCTTTATAGTCAATTTTTTAACAATTTTTCGTAAATTTTTGTAATCTTTTAACCCCGCCTTTCAACCATCATGGCCGACTTGGTTAAAAATAGAACATAGGGGTAAAATGCAGTTTTTGGTTTATATCTCTGAAACTAAAGCATTTAGAGCAAATCTGACAGGTGGTAAAATGTTCATCAGATTTAGGTTTATCTGCCCTGAAATTTTCAGATGAATCCGACAACCCGTTGTTGGGTTGCTTCCCCTGAGTTAGTAATTTTACAGAAATTTTGCAGTTTTTTGTTATTATCTTAGATATCATTATAATATCTAATATCTAATACTCTTAATTATGATTTTGACCTTATTTTACATGATTTCCAAAGCATCAGTAAATACAGGTGAGCGACACAGGCTCTTGAGAGCCTCTAGTTGGACTTTGTTGTGATATATTTTTTTGTGGTATTAAGATTAAGCGGAACTCTTCAATGAAATAGGCATATTTATTGCTTTGGGATTTTTACCAGGGTAAGAACACATGAAATACTATTTTGGAAACAAAAACAATTGTTCAGCATTTCAAGGACATAAAATTTATCAAATGAAATGTTTCAGATTGGAAAAAAATAAGCAATGAATGTGTATAACATTATCTGAGGAAAGATGTTGTTACTAGTATAAATCTTTAAAAAAAAATAACATTGCCCTGTAAATTTGTTATGTATAGTTTGACAATATCAAATATTATATAGTAACAAAAATATCCCCTTGCAAACAGAAAAACGAATAGGACTTTTGCATGTACTCAGTAAGTGAGTCAGGACCAAAAAAAAAACGTGTCTGAAATAACATTTTCATTGATAATGATGTTTAAAAAAACCAACAAATGAATAATCCCATCTCAAAAGGGATTACTATGATTGAGATTAACCTCTGAATAAATATAATTGTGTATATTTTAATAAAAAGTTATAACAAATATTGTTTGTTTATATGTTGTTTAGTTTGCATCAAGACAATGCAAGTGCCATATATTTCATTCATAAAATTCACTTATACTACATTTTTATTATCCTACAAAATTGTCCCAACTAGATCTTTTTAGATTTGGTTCACACAGATTCCTTTAAAAAAAGTACTATTGTTGCATTAATTATTTCATGCATCAATTGTAAACAAAAATATCAGGTGAGCGACACAGACTCCTTGGAGCCTCTAGTTTTGTATTATTTATTTGCTGTCAGATTGATATTTAACCATATATCTCCTTTCTATTCATATTAAAGCATCATAATTGTGCCCAATTTGATATGAAAATCAGTAAAGCTGCATAAAATATACTTTTTTCATTACTGGTACTAGATTGAGGCAGCATTATGTATAAATGTCAGATGATGGATGACGACTTTTAACCTTTAGTTAATGAAGTTTGATCCTTTATTCACAGTAACTATTTTAATATTCTATATTTATTTTGTAG